GTCACTGAGCCTCCAGACACATCAGGATCTAGACGACACATGATGGGCTGGCCGGAGAGCCAGGGGATACTTTAGGATGTGTCTTGGGCAAAACTCGTTTCTGAAGACTGTAATGAGCAGCAGAGGCAGATGCTCCTGGGCCCGGGCAGAAGCGAGGTGATGCGAGTCAGGGCGCTTCATGGAAGGGGACTCTTCAATAGTGTCCTCGAATCCCGCTCTCCCACTGCCAGAATTCCCAGCTGTTCGTCTCTAGGGTGGCCTTTGACGTCGACCTTTCTATTCTGTCTCTCAGCATCTCCCCATCACCCACGGCTGCCCAAAACTACCTTTTTCATTTTTTTTTTTAAATTACTATTTTTTTTGAGATGGAGTCTCACTCTGTCAGTGATCTCAGCTCACTGAAACCTCTGCCTCCTGGGTTCAAGTGATTCTCGTCCCTCAGCCTCCCAGGTGACTGGGATTACAGGCGCCCGCCACCATGCCCAGCTAATTTTTGTGTTTTTAGTAGAGACAAGGTTTCGCCATGTTGGCCAGGCTGGTCTCAAACTCTTAACCTCAAGTGATCCACCAGCCTCAGCCTCCCAAAGTGCTGGGATTACAGGTGTGAGCCACCACGCCTGGCCCAAAATCTTTTTGTTTTCCTTTTTTTTTAGAGTCAGGGTCTCACTCTGTCGCCCAGGATGGAGTACAGTGGTGTGATCATAGCTCATTGCAGCCTTGAACTCCTGGCCTCAAGTGATTCTCGATCCTCCTGTCTCAGCCTCCCCAGTAGCTGGGATCACAGGTGTGTCCAGTCACACCAAGATAATTTTTTAATTTTTCACTAGAGACTGGACCTCGCTATATTGCCCAGGCTGTTGTCAAACTCCTGGCCTCAAGCCACCTTCCAGTCTTGGCCTCCCAAAGTGCTGGATTACAGGTGTGAGCCACTGCACCTGGCCAAAAGTATCTTTTTAAAGCACAAGTCTATCAACTTCCCTCTTAAAAATCCTTCAATAAATTTCCAGTGTATATGGGATTAAATAAACATCCCCACGCTTTGCACCTGGGGTCCTTCATGGCCTAGTCTTGATTTCGCATCACTCCTCTGTTTTAGTGCCTTAGGCTCCCGACTTTCAGTTCTTCCCAACTTGCCTTGTGATTTAAAAGCCCTGAGATTTTTGCAGGACAGCCACTGTTCCTTCAAGAATCTGACCACAGCCTGCCTTCTCCCTGAAAGAAATTCTGTCTCTTCCTCCTGAGATTTTTTTGTTTTAATTTTATTTTTTAGACAGAGTCTTGCTCTGTCACCCAGGCTGGAGTGCAGTGGCACCATCTTGGCTCACCACAACCTCCGCCTCCTGGGTTCAAGTGATTCTCCTGCCTCAGCCTCCCGAGTAGCTGGGATTATAGCCATGCCCAGCTAATTTTTGTATTTCTAGTGGAAACGGGGATTTGCCATGTTGGTCAGGCTGGTCTTGAACTCCTGATCTCAGGTGATCCTCCCGCCTGGGCCCGCCAAAGTCCCGGGACCACGGGTGTGAACCACCGCAACCGGCCCCCTCCTGAGATTAATTTGTTTCCCAGACCTTCTATTAGCAGCCTTCCATCTTGACAGTAAAAGGCTGTATGAGTGCCTCTCTTTTCTCTGGGCCGCTATAGCTTAAGGGAAAGGCTGTATCTTATCTTACAGGTAAATAACAGTTCTACAAATGATCAGGGCTCGGCTTATTAAACACTTGCTAAATAAATGAGTAAGTGAGTAAATAGATGAGCGTGGGCTCAATCTCCTGATCAAGATCGCGCCACTGCACTCTAGCCTGGGCGACAGAGCGAAACTCCGTCTCAAAAAAAAAAAAAAAAAAAAAAATGCCACACAGCAATTGCTAGAAAGCAGAAAACCAAAGGAGCTCCTTTAAGAGAATGAAACGTAAGTATCCGTTTCTGAAATGCACACGGGACAGTCTTCAGCATCACTGACTAAAATTTAGGCTATTGAATGGAGCAGTGAGCACATAACCCATGCCGTCTCAGTTACTTGGACCAAGCTACTAATAAAGTCAGAGGCATGGGTTGGATGCAATATGGCACAGTAACCCTCAGTCCAAAAAACAGTTACTATACCAAGCATTAATTAAAACCAGGAGGGAAATTATTTTTCTCTCCCTGTATGAAAATTAGTTTTAGAAAACATTTAAAATATAAAAACCGCATTGCTGGGTGACAGGCTACCTTGCTGGAATCAGCTCAGTTACTAGGCTGACAAAGGAAAAGCAAAAAACAAAGCAAAACAAAAAACAAAAACAAAACAAAACCCAACCTCAGCACATTCCATCATCACCACCCCAAAAAATTAATTTAAAAACATGTTGCCCCAATGATGGGTGAGCGGTATCATCTTAAAACACAAAGGACAGCCATTTCTGAGGAGTCAAGAGAACCTCAGGATCTTGAAAACACCACCAAAGAGGTGGTGAGAAGGGAGAATCTATGTTTGGCACAGGAACCACGAAGGTGCCGGATGGGTGACCTCAAGCAGCAGCTGATTAGAGAGAGCTGAATTATAGATGTCCCCCAAATCGGTACCATGTAGCCTTGTAGAGACAAAATGGGAAATTCTGAGGCGGGGCAGGAAACCAGACAGATATTAATTTAAGAAGTCTGGATTCCAGTCACTGGATACATTCCTAACTTACACTTCCCAAGAGATTATGCCCCTTACAAGTAGAAATTAGATACAGCAGAAGATACCTTGAGCAAAGAGAGAGAGAATGGGGTTGGATTGGGGAAACTGGCATCCTCACAAATAGCCTGAAGACCTAGGAAACCTCTGGATATAGGCACCTGGGTAAAGGGTGTCCATATAACAAACTCTCCCTAGACAGTGTCAGGAGGATTGGACCTGGGTCCCGCCAGGGCTGTGCCACTAGTGCCAAGGACAGTGCATGGCACATAGTAGGTGCTCAAGGAACATCTATCAACAAATGACAAGTGAACATATATTGTGCAGTGTTTTTTTTACTATATGAGACCCAGAAAGGAAGATTGAGCAAGATACTATAAACCAAAAATAAAATTCTAAGTTCCCCCAACCATCTGAAAGGACTTCCTCCTCAGCCAGGACTTTTTTTTTTTTGACATGGATTCTTGCTCTGTTGTCCAGGCTGGAGTGCAGTGGCATGATCTCGGCTCACTGCAACCTCGACTCCCCAGGTTCAAGCGATTCTCCTGCCTCAGCCTCCCGAGTAATTGGGATTATAGGCACGTGCCCATGTAATCCCATGCCTGGCTAATTTTTTGTATTTTTAGTAGAGACGGGGTTTCACCATGTTAGCCAGGCAGGTCTCGAACTCCTGACCTCAAGTGATCCACTGCCCCAGTCTCCTAATAGTGCTGGGATTACACCCGTGAGCCACTGTGCTCAGCCAGGGGTCTTTTTAAAATTTAACTTGAGAGACTGTTTCAGGCCATGACAAGAAGTGGGGGTCTGACATGCCTCATTATACCTCTCCAGCATTAACACCAACACAGACCTTAAGTCTGATAAGAAACATTTTACAACCTATTCTCTCTGAAGCCTACTACCTGAAGGTTTCCTCTGCAAATAAGAACTTGGGTCTCCACAATCCGTTATCTTAACCCAGACATTCCTTTCTATTGATCTCAGGTCCTTAGATAAACTCAACCAACTGTCAACTAGAAAAATTTTAAATCTACCTATAAGCTGGAACCTCCCACCCATACTTTTTTTTTTTCTTTCTTTCTTTTTTTTGAGATGGAGTTTTGCTCTTGTTGCCCAGGCTAGAGTGCAATGGCAGGATCTCAGCTCACTGTGGACTCCACCTCCCGGGTTCAAGCGATTCTCCTGCCTCCACCTCCCGAGTAGCTGGCAGTACAGGTGACTGCTACCATGCCCGGCTAATTTTTTTTGGTATTTTTCATACAGACGGGGTTTCGCCCTGTTGGCCAGGCTAGTCTTGAACTCCCGGCCTCAGGTGATCCACCTGCCTCAGCTTCCCAAAGTGCTGGGATTACAGGCGCGAGCCACCGCACCTGGCCAGATGTATTTCTTAAATGTATTTGATTGAAGTCTCATGTCTCCCTAAAGTGTATAAAACCAAGCTGCACCCTGACCACCTTGGATACATGTTCTCAGGACCTCCTGAGGGCTGTGTCACGGGCCATGGTCACTCATATTTGGCTCAGAATAAATCTCTTCAAATATGTCACAGAGTCTGACTCTTCATCGACAATATTACATTTATTTTACACATAGAAAAGTATTTCAGTTCCAATTAGAAGTTTCAAACTTGTCCAAGGCCATGCAAGATAGACGTATCTTCTACCTTAGCTGATATGCTGGCACCATAACTTAATCATATTGCACATGGGCATGGTGTTCCACATTTTTAAAGCCCTTTTAGCTGCAATTATGATAATGATCCAGTTAGATATTTTAGACAGTGATGAGCCATTTCCTCATTTTTCAGAATAAATAAACTAAATTTTAATTGGCTCATCCGGGATAATAGCCCTTTCTGGATCAGAACCCAGGTTTTGGGGGTCCCAGGGCTGAGAGTTTTCAATGGTCACACTATCCCTCACCTGAGCTAGAGAAAACCTACAGTTCCTTACACCTCCTGCCTTCCACTCCCCAGCAGAAAACAGAGGAGAAGCTGCAGGAAGTACAGAAATGTGAGCTCCAAAGCCGGGATCTGAACTAGTCTGTTGCACCAGGGGACCATCTACAAAATATACATCAGAACAGCCTGACCTGCTTTCTGGGCTCTTTTGGACCCATTTAGGGATAGAGCTGGTGGGGCTCGGGGCTGCTGGTAAGCAGCTTGTGTTTTAGTTTGCCCAGAAAATTCCCCAGGTGATCTGATTTATCCCCTCTACGCAAACCGCCTTCGCCACTGTAATCTCCAGCTTAGCTGCCAGAGGTTATCTGTTACTCTTGCTCAAGCAGCTCTGGGATAATGGCTCTGCATTGGAGTCGTACACAGAAATTCTCTCCTTACCTTGTGGCTTGGGCTTCCCTGCTGCTTTTGAGAGGCTCACTGCTAGCCGGGCCGTGCACTTTTCTCCTCTGACTCACCAACTCCCCTCTTGGCTTCCTCCTCCTACTTGCTTTTGCATAACTGTCCCTACTCAGAGCACATTTCACTGTCCTCTCCCTTCTGCCAAAAACAAAAAAGGACCCACCTTGCAAGATGGGCTTGAGAAAGCACTCGCTCCCAGGAAGCTGTGAAAGTAACAGCTTTAACACTGGTGAGACTCGAGGGGTGGGGAAACTGCTTGAGGTGGGCTGGGAGAAGCAAAGGAGGAAGCATTTTCCCCCAGACTGGAGGCATCCTGGAATGTTGACTCCTGAAAGGCAACTGTGAAGGTCAGCTCCCTTGGGGGAGAGTAGGGAGGGGGAAAAACGGGAAAGAAAGAGGGAGAGAGACCCAGGGAGAGCTAGTAGATGAGGCTGATAGGGAAATTTCTTGACACTTACAACCGGACAGGCTACAAAATCTCAAACCTGATTCCTAGACCTTATCTTATCTCCGAGGAGAAAATGTGAAAGTTATTTCTTGCATTGCATCTGCCTGCTCACTCCACCCTGGGTCTAGGGAGGTAACATTTCTCAGCCTCTGTGTCGTATTCAATATCTTCACCCTTTCTACAAGAGGTAATAAATATTTTCTGGGAGGACCTAGATGTACTGGCTTGGTGGTACAGGAGAAAAAAAAATCCCATTTAAGAAAAAAAGAAACAAGTTATCATTAAAGATTACAACTTCTCCCTTGCTGTGTGCCCTTGGCCAATCACATACCTACTCTGTGCTACTTTACACGGTTGTCATGAGTCTGAAACAATGGATGCCCATGAATGAACGTAAATTGTGGTGGAGAATGGAAGCCTCAGACTTTCAAGTCCAAGATCTTGCCGGGCAAGTCGTACCACCTCTTTGAGCCCTAGAATATTATCAGTGTTAAATAAGGGTAACAATATCTATCTTACAGTATTGTTGTGAATGTTAGGATTAATGCGTGAAGCTCCTAACACAATATTATGACAATATAAGAGTTAAAAAGTGGTTGTTACCATCGAATAATAATGCCTCCCCACCCCCGCACAACTCAGCTGCCAGTTCCTTTTCCAGACCTTGGAAGAGAGAGAGCAGGCAGGGATGTGTGAGCTCTGGGATGATCTTTGCCGATTTCCATCAGCTGAGTCCACTAAGCACAAATGACAAGAACCTGTGGTGCTTGCCTTGAATTGATTTCAATTGTGTGGCTCTTCCTCCCTTCCTGTTTCTCTCTGGCAGAGAGAAGAGAAATTTCTCTTCCTCCAGTGAAGGACTTTGGGCAGAGGTGTAACTGGAAGCGCTGGAACTGGGCAGTTGGTAGTTTTGCTTTTATGGACAAAGAGATGATTCAGGTGCTGGCACGACACAGCGAGATGGCACAAGGCTTCATCACGCATACTCAGAATAGTATGTAATAAATGAAGTTTATTTCTGGAATTTTTCCATTTAATATTTTCAAATCGTGGTTGATGATGAGTAGCTAAAACTGGGAAGCAAAACCATGGATAAAGGGGGGCTCCTGTAGTTTTACTCCAGCCCTTTCTAACGTTCTTTTCATGTTTTTTCAGAGCCTTCCTAAATATAGTGAGGTCACTCAAATACACCATAACCCCAAGTAATTCAGATCACCTGCCATCTTTCCCTTGCTAGGAATTCATGCTGGCAGAATGCCATCAGCCAAAGAAAGGCATCATCTGGCCACTAGTATACGGTGGTGACCAGCATATTCAGATACTGGACTTCCAAGGGTCTACCACATTCCACAGCACTGGGAAGAAATTTGAATGTTGGTGTCTGATATCCAGGCCTTCCTGTGGAAGTCCTGCAGTCCACGTCTCTCAGGCAGCACTGTCCAATGGCAGTCTCTGTGATGATGGAAATGTTCCATATCTGCACTATACAGTAGCCACTGCCCACCTGAAACGTGCCTAGTGCTACCATATTGGATCATGCAGTCAAGTAAGAGATCTAATCTTTTTCTTTTTGAGTTTCCAGAATCTGATAACAGATATAGACCTCTGTAGAAAAATGTACAGTTGCTCATTTACAAACACAAAATCATGTGCAATGCCAAGGAATCCCAAGTTTAAAATCCCTACAAAAGGCTGTGTGTACTTGAAGTGATTTAGACAATTTTCTCATGGGGACCACTATTCAGCAGAGTGGCTGTTCTCATCTTTGCCCTTGGAAGTTTACCATCTTTACTGTCTGGGGACCCACCTGAGTGGTGAAGAGGCCTGGGGTCAGCTACTGACCTAGACTCTGATTTTCTCAGGGGTCAAAAGGATCTTTCTGCTGATCATACTACCTACTTCTGCTACCTTACCCTGACCATCACTCCAAATGAGAATGCAGTTTCTTCACTTCCACACTTACCTACATATCTTTTCTGTCCCTATTGACACTAAAAGGACAGTGATGCTTCCTTGAGTTTCTTTTCATGTAGGGGCTCTAGCATTCCTCATTTTTTTACTCTGAGCATCAGCCTGCAATGCAGATATCCGGGCCTGAAACGGTTGAGGAACATGTCACTCCCTACATTGGTCACCAACCCTGTTTTGCTTACCAAAGCCAGTGTCAGGCCTGAGTAGGTCACTGGCTAAGTGGCTGAGTTTAGAGAATAGATTCTGGAGGGCTTTGTAGTTTGGCTAAGTTTCTGAAGGTTGTAGAGACTGGATCTTAGCATCATAGGGAGCCAGCACCTTTGGAAGAAGTGTCTGCAAGCCAGGGAGGAAATATTGGTTGCTGTAAATCCTATTATCAAATGGGTAATTGCTTTCAGTAGAACTTGCTTCCTTGAGCTGGGCCCTGGTGGTGGACATCTGTGTAGGGAATCCGCCAGCAATAGGATGTCCCTTATCTGTGTTAGAAATATTTATTTCAACAGTGGGAGAATAAGTTGGACTAGAATAGATCAAGATTAGCAGAAAAATGAACACAGTTTTAAGTTTTTCACTGGTTCTTGCTTTCTTGTTGCTCCTTTGTAAAGAAGAGAGGATAGGAAAATAGGAAATAATGAGCCAGGAGTTCCTAGTAAAGTTCAGGCATCCCTTGTATGTCTTTAATGGTTCAGGAACATAACATTGCTGCATAATTGTGGCTTTATCTGGAATCAGTCTCCTGAAATTCTATCTCTGGTCTTCCAAAAACTGTCAGAGACGGCTTCAGGTGACCCGTGATGATTTAGTCAAGGAGTTTCTGGAGAGGAAATCTGGGGAGACTATCAGTGTGTCTTCCGGTGGACTGTCACCTCATGTATCACATTGATCACCAATGTCTGTCTAAAGGTAAAATAGCCTTTAAATAGCTGTCAAATTTGCCCTCCTTCTTTTTATGTCAACAGCCACTGTCTTCGGTCTGCCTTTCCATTTTTTGTTTGTTGCTTGAATTTCTGCCAACAGCCTCTCACTTTTTCCCATATCTCCAATTTTACCCCCTCCAGCCTTCCCACTCTACCCTGAAGCTAGAGCGATCTTTCCTAGGATGGATCGGATCCCCAGCATTTCCCTGATGAAAATGCTGCAAGGGAGCTCATTAGAGACACAGTACAAATTCCTCGAGATGCTTAGTTAGGCACCTTTTAAGAGTTGGTGTCTCTCGGCCGGGTGTGGTGGCTCACGCCTGTAATCCTAGCACTTTGGGAGGCCGAGGCGGGCAGATCACCTGAGGTCGGGAGTTCGAGACCAGCCTGGCCAACATGGCGAAACTGCGTCTCTACTAAAAATACAAAAGTTAGCTGGGCATGGTGGCATACACCTGTAATCCCAGCTACTCAGGAGGCTGAGGCAGGAGAATAACTTGAACTCGGGGAATGGAGGTTGCAGGTAGGTGGGTAGATGATGTGCTGGGAATTTGTAGAAATTCCCTTATTATTGCTTTTATTTTCCTAGTGAGTGAGGGGATAAGGTTGTCAGCTGAGTCTGAGGATGGGGAAGGAGTTATGAAAGCTTGAAGAGAGAGAGGAAGATATGGAATGGCAATCTATGAGAATACATCAGTGACTGTGCTAGGGTAATGAAGTAAGATAGACGAGTGAAGCTGAAGGCCAGTGGTCATAAACTTAAAGTGAAAGCAGATAGCAGAGGTGTGTAGTTTTTCCAACCAAGTTCGACTACTACTTCTTGTGTGGGGATAGGTGGAGAGTTAGATTTGAGTAAGACCTCTGCGTTTCTGGAAAAGTACAATGAAGTATTAGAGAGGCAAGGGAGCCTAGGGGATATTCAAGGGCATAATTATAATAATGAACCATGGACTCTAAGCTGGTTAAGAGGAGAAAGAAGGACAGAAAGTTTATAGCTGAGCTAAGTTGGAGGGCAAGTTGCTTGGGAGTGAGGAGGTCAAGGATTTGAGACATCAGGGCTTTGAAAGTATCATCTCTAAGGATATTGAGTTCACGTAGAATTGTCCCAGGAGTAGAGTTGGAGAGTGGCAGGGGTCATATGACTGTAATGAGGGCAGTATAGTCTGGTTAATATCAGAGTCAAAGCTGGAAAGGTTTAAGAAGGAGGGAGCCAGAATAATCTGGAAGCAGCAATGAAGAACAAGAACACCTATTCCACTGTGGAGTGTAAGAGAGAAACAGACACCATCTGAGAGGACTGCAGAGAAAGCAGTGTCTTCAAAGGAGACCTAGTTTCCTTTAGAGCAAGAAAATGAAGAGGAAATGAAGAGACTTTGAGAAAAGATGGATTTTGTGGATCCCAACAATGAATTATTGAGGGTGTCAGGGGATGGGGAGGGTGGGAAATGGGGTTAGAAAATGAGATGTTTGGAGCCATTTGGGATTTGGGATTAAATGCAAAGGATCCTGGGCTACTTATGTGACTGGCATAAATCAGAATAAAGGAAATAATAACAGATAATGATGGCCTCCAGGAAGATAGTGGTGGCCAAACTGAAAACTTGGGGAAGAGCAGTGTGAAGAACCTGCCGGGAGAGGCTAGGGTGCTCCCTCTTTACTCTTGGCAATGGTGATGTGGAGGCCAGGGTAGAGGTGTTGTTGAAACTCTAGACATTGAGAAACCACATTACTACTTCTCCAAACAATGCAAAGCATCTGGAGTCAGCTTGGTTGAAGGAACAAGAGTTTTGGGCCAGGCACAATGGCTCATGCCTATAATCCCAGCACTTTAGGAGGCCAAGGCGGGTGGATCACCTGAGGTCGGGAGTTCGAGACCACCCTGACCAACATAGAGAAACCCCATCTCTACTAAAAATACAAAATTAGCCGGGTGTGGTGGTGCATGCCTGTAATCCCAGCTACTCGGGAAACTGAGGCAGGAGAATTGCTTGAACCTGGGAGGCGGAAGCTGTGGTGAGCCGAGGTCACGCCATTGAACTCCAGCCTGGGCAACAAGAGTGAAACTCAGTCTCAGAGGAAAAAAAAAAAAAAAGAGTTTTGAGGGAGAAAGAGGAGATAGATCATGGAGCACTGAGGGAGTAGGTAGTTCTCCAGGGGATATCACAGGAGTTCCTGGGTGTTGACCTGTGTGACATGAAGTCATGTAGTCATACAGTTGGGGCGGATACAGTGGCTCAAGAATACCATCAGGTGACTTATTTCTACGGACCATCAACTTCATGCTTATTGCCTCATGGTCAGGAGACAGCTGTGCACATCTAGGGCTCACATCTACATTCCAGACAGGAAACTGCAGAAAGGTTAATAGCTGCAGGGCATATGCATCACATAAAGTAAAGATGTGAAAGCACTTCAATCTCCAAAGCTCTTGGTTCATGTGGGTTGCTCTGCTTAAAGTGCCCTCTCTCCTTTATGGCCTGGCTAACTTGCATCTTCTCTTTCAAGATTCAACTCAAGTCAGCATCACCTTCTCTGGGAAACCGTTCCTCATGTCCCTAGGCTGAGTTAGGCGCCCTGGTCTCTGTGCGGCAGATTACCATGATGACCTCCATTCTCCCATCTTTTTATCCATACCCTATGATGTATAACTCTGCCTGGAGTCTCAGCTATGCCACTCGCTTTGATGGTTGGGATTTTTTTTTTTTTTTAGATGAAGTCTTGCTTCTTTACCCAGGCTGGAGT